CCATCCATCCATCCATCCATCCATCCATCCATGCATCCTTCCATCCATCCATGCATCCATCCATCCATGCATGCATCCTTCCATCCATCAATGCATCCATGCTTCCTTCCATGCATCCATCCTGCAAATGGTACTTATCTCCTGGACAGGTCTACTGTCCCTCACAGAGCAACACAGCCACACAGGACAAACCATTATTCACACACTCACAGCTAAGGACAATTGAGAGAGGCCAGTTGATGTAGCAGTCATGTGTTTTACTTGCGTGAGTAAGCTGGAGTAAAAGCACAGAGCCTATACATTCACAGGGAGAAAATGCAAACTCCTTGCTGAAAGACTTCAGGGATTGTTTGCTTTATGTCTGCAATAAGGATGTATAGAGGAAAAACCTGGATATTACTGCCTGATTGTACTTTGTTTTGCCAACACAGAAAATACTATTTTTGAGTATATCTGAGTCCTAATTATTCGTAAATGCTAGATGTACATCAGTGCACATGTATTTACATAGCTCAACAATTAAAGGTATAGTAAACTATCTTTTATTTCTGTGTGGATCATTTAAATAAGTGATCCTCCTTATTGTCAATCATTCTATTGATAACTTTAAGTAAGGCCGTCCTACGTGCTTGTCTCCGTAAGCTATCTATTTCTGCACATTCCCACTTTCAGGTGTATATCTGTGGTGAGCAATGGTTTCAGACAGTCATTGACGCTCACCTTTCTTACCACGGTTCTTTGAAAATGGCTGAGGGACGTAAGAGAAAAGTGTCTCCGAAGTGTAATTTAAATCCCATAACAAAGAGGTTTCTAGAATTTCTTCTTTCATCTCAGAACTACTGCAAACATTTACAAACATCTCTTCTTCATTTTCTATTTCTGCTTCTGTCTCTTTGAACCCCAGTCTGCCTTAGCAGGTGACCGCTCACACTGAGCCTGGTTGTACTGTAGGTTTCTTCTTGTTAAAATTTAGTTTTCCTCTCCACTGTCGCTACAGACATGCTTGGTGAGAGGGATTGCTGTGGAGTCAATGAGTGGATGCTATCAGCTAGTTTTCCTTATATAGAAATATTTTGAACTGTATGATCTGGATGAATTGTCTGTGTAAAAGGCCTGGGGATGACATGTGCGGGGAATTGATGCTATATAAACAAACTGAATTGAGTTGAATCATAAGTAACATATTGTTACTACATTAAAACTTGGTTGTGACAGCATCCTAACCCTCCTTAATGCACTAAGAAGCGTTATCGTAGATCCTTCCTTCCATCAGCTCTAACACTACATCTCTGCTCCCAACAGGCTTCTAGCTAGCCAACCGTACAGCTTACCAAAGTGTTAGTCTCCCATGGAGTGATTTTTGAAGATGACTGAAGTTGACAGAAAAAATGCATGAACCTAATAACAAAGCAATGCTGAAAGAAAAGATTTAGACTTGAAACTAGTTTGTAGGTTGACCTTACAGCAGGACAACATAAACGAAATGATCTATATCAATGTTAAATGGCCTAGTCAAAGTTCAACAGTAGTAAAACTTGAAAATTCATGGGTCACATACACTCTCCCTCCAATATAAGTGTATTTTTTCTATAACACATGGACAAAAAATAAAAAATCAGTGTCCATATGCTTGAAGTACATCTGAAGAGGATTCTAACAGTCTTGACTCAGGGTCTCTAAATACAAACGATTGATTTGCATGGAGAATAAGTATTCTTGCAAAGCACCATAATTGCTTTTGTATAGATTAAGGTTTATATTCTAAGATAATTAAGCTTCTGCATGGTTCAGGGCCTCTGGGAGCATTTTCAGCTCCACCCTAAGAAGCTGCAGTTTCCCCCTCCTTTATTCCCTCTCTCTCTCTTTCTCCCTCCTTGTGTTTAGATTTCCTCTCCACTCTGGAGCTCTGCACTGGACCTGTAGGAACTGGAAGGGTTTTGTGTTTTTTTTCTCTAAGGATTTGGGTTTAGGACCGCACAGTGGCCGGGTTAAGGACCAGGACGGATGATGCGTATTGCGCCGCGCCTCTTCCATGAAAGAGTCGTCTCTCCGCAGCAGAGATGGGCGCCCTTCCTGGACTCTCACCTTCCTACGGGCCCCGGGGGGACCTCTGCCGCCGCGCCGCGCTGCTCCTACCTGTAGTGGCGACTGCGCTCCAGCTTTGCGCCGCTTTTAACCTGGACGCGGAGGGACGCGCAGTTTTCACGGGACCGCAGGGGAGTTATTTCGGATATTCTGTGGAATTCTTCGGTAACTCATCCAGGTAAAGGCTGGCTTTATTGCATTAAGGGTCTAAATAATTCCACTTTAACAAAGAAATTATAAACATTATAAACTTCTCCTCTTTGAAGTCTTCCATTTGGTCCCTCTGTTCAAAGTAAAAACACGCAGATAAAAAGTCAAAATTCCTCTGGATTAATTAATTTAGCTGTAACGAATTTAATTTGAAACAGTTTAATTTTTTCTCTTGATTTGAATATTTGATATAAAACACACATCATTCGTTTGCACTTTGATCTCCTCCACACGGCTACACGTGCGCACTGAGACGGAATTCCAGCGCGAGTCTGATTGGAACCAGACGCACGAGACTGTGTGTGATTCAGAGAGGAGGGGGTTAACCCACAGAAAAGAAAAACACAACTTTTGCCCCGAGCAGGGCTCCTAGAGGACAGTGGGGCTTTTTGATTGGTCCTTTTTTTATTTTGAAAACTCAGGGGCTGCTGACAGAGATGCAGTCAGAGATCAAACCTCCTCTGCTTGTTGTAGCTGAACACCGACAGGTTCATCACCTGGTTTGGCTCAGATTCCTTAAAGGGGATGAATGAGGTGTGAAGTCTATGAAGCAAACCTGATGGCTTCACATTGCTTTTCCATTACAGTATGATACATTTAGAAAATGTGAAAGTGGCCTATTGAAGGAAATCAGATTGTTGTATTTTAAAGTTGTAGGGAAGTCATTTTTTCAATGTAAAATCTTTCTGGCTTAAACATGTATATAAATGTACCCTTTATCAGACTGTTGTCTCAAAATTTAGACCATTTCTATAAAAAAAAAA